ATCAATTAATCGAAAAAATAATCGGCCGATTCATCGATTTTTAAAATAATCGTTAGTTGCAGCCCTAGATTCAGTTAAACTTTTATTTTAAAAAAACAGCTGAAGTTCTTTTGTCTGACACAGGCTCTATCACAACACTGTCAGTATTTATTTCTTAGTCTATCTCTTCTTTTTTTCTGAAGAATGATATTTAAATTGTATGTATATTAAGGGATAAGTTATTATTCATCCGTATTCCAATTTAAATAGTTCATTATTTATATTAAATATCAAATCACTGAGACAATCATTTAACTTTGGTGTCATCCGCAAAAAGGATTAGGTTTAGTAGTTTGGGTATATTAAATATGTCATGTGTAAATTAAACAAGTTTGGGCCCAATATAGATCTCTGTGGGACTCCACAAGCAATACCCAAATATCCCGATTCGAACATACCCATCTTCAGATATTGCTGTCTCTCTGCTAAATAGCTTTGTATCCAACTGAAGGCCGCTTCACTAATACCGTATCTTCCCAGTTTTTTTGAGTAAAATATCATGATTTATAGTATAAAAAGCTTTCTTCAAGTCAATTAATATTCCTGATGCATATTTTTTTCCATCTAGATTATTTGTAATTTCTTCTACTGCATCAATTATTGCCATAGATGTTGACCTTTCTAACTTGAAACCTTTTTTATTAATTATGTTTTCAAATGTCTTGTTAAAAAAAGTGTAGCAGAGAAACTGTCCTCTAAGTAGCAAGAATGTTTGTTTCCATTCTTTAACAGATGTAGTATTTTTGCCATTTTCATATTGTTTGGAAAGGTCCCCGTTTCAAATGATAGATTAAAAATATAAGTTAAGGGTTTAGAGATACTATCATTATTTTATTGGTCTCATATCAGAATCAGTTTATTTTCACACTTACCAACATTCTCTATTATATCTGATTTAGTTCCACTCAACTTAACGTGAAATTGGTGGTTTTTTTACTTTTGTGAACATGGGAACCATCATATTTAATACTCTGTCGTCTCACCCTAATCACTAGTTGTGTATATTTAACTGTTACTTGATTTTTCCTGATCATTATCACCAAGTTTCCATGTCAAAGGTGACAATTTGGCTGGAAGGGAACTGCGGCCGAAACAATTAATCCATCATTGTAATAATTGTCAACTAATTTACTAATCCATTAATCATCAACTTGAGTGACAGATCAACCAACCCTTGAGCAGCAATTATACCAAAATTATAAAAAGAATATATAAACATTTTGCATTTAAGATACAAAAGCTTTTTCATCTGTCAATATCCAGTGGAATTGTTTTAGTTTCACCTGGTTTGATTTTGTAAAAAATCTACTTTAAGGAACCTATTAGTATCTTTTCATTAATTGATTAATCGACAGATTAATCACTTTTAAAATAATCGTTAATTGCAGCCCTAATGGGAAAACTACATGTTACCATCAGAGTGATGCTCTCAAACATCCAACCTCTTTTTTTTTTTTTTTTAGGAACAGATAAAGCCGGCCTGTTAAAAGTTTTTTGGCTGTGTTTAAAACTGTCCTTTGCTATGAAACAGACTAATGGTTGAATCGCTCAATTAGAGTAACTAAACATCCAGGCAGAATTCAGCTGAAACATTTTTATGGCTCCAAAAAGTGCAGTTTATCCACAACCCAATTAGAGGTATCATAGGGGTGTGTGTATATATTTAAATCTCTGTTAAACTGTACTTACTGCTATTATTATGTAAAGTGTTTGAGGTTCTATACCGCTGTCTAAATAAGATCAGTAGCTCTTTACTACTTAACCTCCAGATATTCTCTGTAGGGACTTTAACTTTAATGTTAATTCAATGTTTCGTTATTCTTTGCTGATTCAGATTGTCTTTCTTGTGAATATCTTGCAGTTCATCAGACTCCGATGTGCAGTACAGGCTGGTTTCTCGATTCGTCAACGAGGCGGTGCTGTGTCTGCAAGAGGGCGTCCTGAACAACCCGTTGGAAGGAGACATCGGGGCCGTGTTTGGGCTGGGATTCCCCCCCTACCTCGGAGGTCAGTTAGCCTGCATTGTCGGTGAAAGTCATGATAAGATTCGTCCCTTCTCACCACTTTTTAACATGCCTCTTTGTTTATTACCTCCAGGACCTTTCCGCTTCGTAGACAGTTTCGGCGCCGACAAACTTGTGGAGAAGATGAGGAAATTTGAAGCTGTATACGGGAACCAGTTCACTCCATGCCAACTCCTACTGGATCACGCTAAAGATTCCAGCAAGAAATTTCACAAGTGACCGACTCGCCGGTGCTGCCAGTAGCTCCTAATAAACTCAAGTTTGTCACTAAACATGTGCCTAACATCGATTAATGGGGAGGGTGAACATGCTGACTGTACACGTTGACCGTTTATCAGGTGCAAATAACCTCAAGTGGAGCTGTCTGATGGGTAATTAGTGCTGATTTATTAAATTTTTTTCTTAAAAGGGGGAAAATTAAAGTTAATGATCATTTCTGGAGTTTATATTGCAGTACCTGACCTGTGCTCACTGATTTTTAACAATGAGGAGCAGCTTTTAAAGCTTTGAAAATGATCATGAGCTTGATTCAGCACTAGACTGTATGGACAGAGGTGAAATAATACAAACAGTTTTATTTCAGGTGTTGTACCTAATAAACTGGCAAGTGTGTGCAGGTGGAAAGCTGTTTTAATTTTTTTTACATGAATGTTCACTTGATGTATAGATAAAGGGTGTGTTGACATGACTTATTTACACATTGCATCTGTAAAGACATTTTTTCTGCTGCCAAATAACTTTTAACACAATGAATGTTAAGATACATCATGGTTCAGCAAGTGTCTTGATTTCTTTGTACATTAAGGGTTTGCCTTGCTTGGTATGGAGAAAAATGTAAATGTGAAACTTCAATAAAAAGGTTGATTAATTTTTGCTTTTCTATGGAAGATTTCTAACTAAAACCTAAACATGGTTGCTTTGGGTACAGAAGTAAAAGAAGTAAAAGCTTTTCTTTGATCTAGGGATGAATTAAAGGCTACTTGCAAAACAGATTGTCTTTAATTACATTTTATAATTTGAACATTACAAGCTGTGATGATGCCAACAATTCCATGTATTTTATAAATTACTAAGACCTGAGAATGGCCATTAATGATGCAGAGATCTTTACAGGGGGCTTCAGGATCTTAAATTGAAATATTTTAAAACTAAACATGGGAAATGTTTTAGTAATTCAGTTGAAATGGACTATACTTATATAGAAAAAGAAATATTTCGTCCAAATGTTAAGATGTCTGTAATTTATAACATAAATTCTCATTCATTCAGTTTTAAAATAATTGTAACACACCTATTGGTTTGGTGGTGCAGTGGTTAGGGCACACGACCCATGTATGGAGGTTTACTCCTTGATGCAGGCGACCTGGGTTCAAATCATGCCTGTGGTCCTTTCCCGCATGTCACTCCCCCTCTCTCATGCCTACTTTCTTGTCAGCCTACTGTCCAAAAAGCTCAAGCCGCTAGTGCCATAAACCCCCCCAAAAAAGAAGTTTGTTTGGGTCTTAACATTTAGGTTGGTCGACCTGCTGCAAGGTCTACGCCACAAGTATTTTATAGCCTTATATGGTAAGGTAAGTTTATTCTATAGCAGATTTTAGTGGCAAAGCAATTCAAAGAGCTGTAGGGTTGCAACAAATTAAATCAAGAAAAACATTTGCTTCATGTTTGCAATAATGAGCTAATTATTGTTGGTTTATCACATACAATCCAAATAAACTGAAGTATCTGGTTGGAATTTTAGAAAATGGTGAGAAATGTTTAGCCTACTCTAGCAAAGAACTGTTAGGACTAGAATATAAGAAGAAAATGGTTGCTTACATCTGCTTCCATATCAATCAGACTCTGCAGTTGCCCCTTTCCTGTCAGCATACTGTTCATAAAAAAAAAACCAACTACTAAATCTTATATGATGCATATTTTTATAATGCAGTGTTTAAAAAAAAAAAAAAGTAAATTGGAATTTGTAATTTAATAAAATCTTAAAATTTGGGTGACATTTGATGGTGTATACACACTTGCATACCAGTGTTTATTTTTGTAAATTTTAACTGTCATTTTAATTCAAAAGTCTTCAAATTTTACATAAGTCTGAAAAAAATTATTTAGAATGAGGAGGCCCAGGGTGTTGTCAGCTCAGTATAGCGCTTCAAGCCAGCAGACTCTTAGCAATAAGCATGCATGCATGGTGGTTATTAGTGGTTATCAGAATGCCTTCAGTAGGCTGTTATCACCAAGTGAATCCTAATCCTAACCCTACAGTAATTCCTTTTCCCCTGCGGAATTAATTAATCTAAGTGTAATCTGAAAATAATTTCAGTAGTTCTTCATGTACTGTAAAAATAAATGAATAAATATACAGTACACACCGTTGTAGGAAATCTTCAATTTCGTAGCAATTTCTCGCATGGGATAGCCTTCATTTCTAAGAACAAGAATAGACTGTCGAGTTTCAGATGAAAGTTCTCTTTTTTGTTTAAAATTGACCCCACAAATGTGATGCTCCAGAAACTCAATCTGCTCAAAGGAAGGTCAGTTTTGTAGCTTCTATAACGAGCTAAACTGTTTTCAGATGTGTGAACATGATTGCACAAGGGTTTTCTAATCATCAATTAGCCTTCGAAGCCAATGAGCAAACACATTGTACCAATGGGGCTCTATACACCTATGTAGATATTGCACCAAAAACCAGACATTTGCAGCTAGAATAGTCATTTACCACATTAGCAATGTATAGAGGGTATTTCTTTAAAGTTAAGACTAGTTTAAAGTTATCTTCATTGAAAAGTACAGTGCTTTTCCTTAAAAAATAAGGACATTTCAATGTGACCCCAAACTTTTGAACGGTAGTGTATATATATACATACGTTGTTTTTATTTCAACACCTTGGTTTGAGATCGAACATCTATAAACCAAGGTGTAGTCCTGTTTCTCTGACTGTGACTGGCTGGATGTGCTCTCTTCATGACATGGGAGCTCGTCTGCTTCGCTGTGTGTTTCCTGGATGGCGCCGCCTTTTACAGTTGCCTGTTGTATCTCTGCTTCTGTCTCCTTGAACCCCAGTCCTCCTCAGCTGATGGCCGCTCACACTGAGCCTGGTTCTGCTGGAGGTTTCTTCCTGTTAAAAGGGAGTTTTTCCTCTCCACTGTCGCTACAAGCATGCTTAGTGTGAGGGATTGCCTTAGAGTCAATGAGTCGATGAAATCAACTGGTTTTCCTTCAGCCAGAAAACTTTTAATCAATCTAACTGGATGATCTGGTTGAACTGTAAAGTGCCTTGGGTTGACATGTTTTGAATGCAATTATTTAAATAAATAGCTATATATATATACATTTCAAATCACAACGAATTTCATCTGTAAGACGTAGAAGCAAAAAATAGATAAAATATGTAAAGAGGTAGGCCTATATACTGTACTTTGTAACGATTGTAAAAAAATAAAATTCCTCAAATAAATGTTTTGTTAAATTTTAATGATTTTAATTTATCTAGACATAACTACATAACTTAATGCACTTCTTCACACAGTTTATAGAGGGACAAAATAAAGAGTTTGGTTATTAATAAGGATCTTGTTGTTGTTATTCTCCTAAAGGTGTAGTCGCCATGTGATCGTGAGGAAATTGAGCTGTGATCCAATTCGCTGCGCAGGTCACATGTCTGATCTCCATTGTCCGCAGAGCAGGGTGTGTACCGGGGGCCGCTGTGTGGGCTGGGTCGGTGTTTTTCTCTCAGCATCAGCAGCATCATCCTGCTGTATCTTCTTCCATCGCCTCCTTCCCGGAAAGATGCTGTGGACTGAAAGGAAGCAGCGGAGGCGCTGAGAAGCGGCGCGCATTGACTGAAACGGGGCGCGCCTCTCTGGTCCTGCTGCTGTCATCGCTGGCGCACCTGCATGGAAGTGACTCAGCTCGGAATGGCCTCCTAACCGGGTGAGGATATCAGTGACCGACGGCTGAATGATAGAAAAGCATGTCTGCAGGGAAACAGTGCGAGGCGGTGAGGGTGGTGGTCCGCTGCAGGCCGTTTAACAGGAGGGAGGAGACGGCAGGATGTGAGAACATCCTGGAGGTGGATGACAAACTGGGGCAGATCACCATCAGGAACCCAAAGGCGCCACCTGATGAGCCCATGAAAGTCTTCACCTTTGACTCGGTGTATGGCTGGAACTCAAAGCAAAGGGACATTTATGACGATGCTGTGAGACCTTTGGTGGAGTCTGTGCTCCATGGCTTTAATGGCACCATATTTGCTTATGGACAAACTGGGACAGGGAAAACACACACCATGCAGGGGCTGTCAAAGGACCCGGAGAAGAGGGGCGTCATCCCCAATTCATTCGAGCACATTTTCACCCTGATATCCAGAAGCCAGAACCAGAAGTATCTAGTGAGGTCTTCTTATCTTGAGATCTACCAGGAGGAGATCAGAGATCTTCTGTGCAAAGATAACAACAAGAAGCTAGAGCTCAAAGAGAGTCCCGACTGCGGGATTTACGTGAAAGACTTGTCCTCAGTGGTGACAAAGAATGCCACTGAGATCGAGCATGTGATGAACATTGGAAACCAGTCCAGATCTGTGGGATTCACCAACATGAACGAGCGCAGCTCCAGGTCCCACGCCATTTTCCTGGTGACCGTAGAGTGCAGCGAAAGAGGTCCAGATGGTGAGGACCACATACGCGTTGGGAAGCTGAACATGGTGGATCTGGCTGGAAGCGAGCGGCAGAGCAAGACGGGTGCAAAGGGGAAGCGCCTGAAGGAGGCGGCTAAGATCAACCTGTCCCTCTCCGCGTTGGGGAACGTCATTTCAGCACTGGTGGACGGGAAGAGCACCCACGTCCCGTACAGAGACTCCAAGCTGACCCGCCTGCTGCAGGACTCTCTGGGCGGCAACGCTAAGACTGTCATGATTGCAACAGTGGGGCCAGCTCACAAGAACTTCGACGAAACCCTGGCAACCCTGAGGTACGCCAGCAGAGCCAAGAAGATAAAGAACAAACCTCGGATTAATGAGGACCCCAAAGATGCACTTCTAAGGGAATTCCAGCAGGAGATTGCACGCCTGAAAGCTCAGCTAGAGGAGCGAGGGATACTGGCGAAAGAGAGGAGGAAGAGGAGGAGAGACAGTAAGAGACTGAGCAAAACCATGGCTGGTATGGAGGAGGAGATCCTGTGCGAGAAGGATGGAGATGTATGGAAGACGGCGGAGGAGGCAGAAGGTGGGAGGTGTTGCCTGATTGAGGGAGGTGACAGTGCAAATTTCCTGACCTGCCAGGGAAGCAGCGAAAAACTGAAGAACCTAAATCTTAATAGAAGGAGTCTGATGGACATGCAGTGGGATCAAGATGCCGTGGAGAAGATCATAGAGAAATACAAGGTGGTTTATTAAGCATGATAAATGAGACGCCAGTTAAACAAAAGAACCGGCCTGAATAATTTATTGTGTCTTTGTTCACAGACTATGGAGAGCAAACTGTTGGTTGGTGGAAAGACTATAATTGATCACACTAATGAGCAGCAGAAAATGCTGGAGCAGAAAAGACAGGAAATCGCTGAACAGGTGAAAATTGCAAAAATGAAAAAAGTTACATTAAGCCTTTTGTTGAAGCCCTTTTTTTTGTTGTTTTGAATTAAATTAAAGGTTTCAATCTAATTTGAATTTCTTGGCTCGCAGATAAGAAGAGAGAGAGAAATCCAGCAGCAGATGATGTTACAAGATGAGGAGACCTTAGAAATCAAAGAGACGTTCTCCTCCCTGCAGCAGGAGGTGGAACATAAGACAAAGAAGCTGAGGAGGGTGGGGTGACTCATTTCACTAGCACCCTGGTGGCATAATCTCTAAAGAAGTTACTGTTTATTTTTATAGAAATAGGCATTAAAACACCTGTTATGGCGGAACTCAGTTCAGATGTGCATCATGTTTGTTTTGCCTGATGATAAGTATAATTTGCTGGTTATTGTTTGCAGTTGTATGCTAAGCTCCAGCTGCTGAGGGGAGAGATGAAAGATGTCTTTGATGAACATGTCACAACCAGACAGGAACTTGAAGAAACGCAAGAAGAGCTAACCAGAGAGCTCAAGTACAAGTAAGTAATGAGAATCTTGAAAAGGTATTGCAACCTCTTAAACCTTTTTTTTTTCTTGATATTAATCGCGATTAGTTGATTATTGAAATAATGGTCAACTATTTTAGTAATCGATTAATCGATAACTAGAGTATAGAGACTTCTAAAACATGCCTTTAACTGCCAAAGCAATTTACGTAGAGCAGTAATTATATACATTTTTTTTTTAAAAATCTATAAATATTTAGCATTTAAAATAATAAAAAACTTTTTTCTGTCAAGATGTTCTATCCAGAACTCCTCGAGTTGAAAAGTTTTAGTTACACCTGGTTTAATTTTGTAAAAAGTCTTCTTTAAGGAACCTTTGGCTATCTGATTATTAATCCATTAATAAAAAAAATAATTGACAGATTAAAACAATCGTTAGTATATATATATATATATATATATATATATATATATATATATATATATATACACACACATTAGGGCTGCATATATATATATAACACAAATATAACACAAAATCCAGTCTTGCAGAAAATCCGAATTAGTTTGGATTTTCAAATTATAATTCGGTTATCAGTAAATGCATCGGAATTTGTTTAATATACTTATTCACCATCAGAAGCCAAGGGAGTCACTTCCTAGTCATCTAAGTAACTCCAACTCTGAGTCTCTGAAGGGTTTCTTTCAGTCTGGGTCAGCATGTTATAGAATCATGGACTGGACCGATGTCCCCAAATGAATTCTACTCATGAGCTACAAGACATCCTGGAAGAAATGTAATGTAGCATAAAATGAATCAATTTGCATTTGATAAAAACAATATGATACTTTTACTTCTGACACATTTATTTTGCTTTTTGAGTTTGAAGTTGCATAATACAATAAAAATCCCCTTTTCTGTTTAACCCATCTTCATTTTCAACTTTATGTGAATTTACAATAAATAAATACACTTTGAGTTATGCTCTGCAGGTAAGTTAGCTATATAATATAATTAAATGAGATCTTACCTTAGAAAATCCCTTTAAGATGCTCTAATTAATGTCTGAGTTATAAAACATTTTTTATTGCAATAACTCAATTTGTTTGCATTAAGATTAGACTCTTTGTCTTTCAAATATCCATCTTTATTTTAAAGACTGCATTTGCATAATTACATTTATATAACCATCTATAATACATACTTCTATGAAATGTTGAGCCCTGGTGTTCAATTTTTTATTTTATTTTTTTGGTGGTTTGTTTATTTGTATTTTTTTAGATGCTTTAAACAATTTAGACGTTTAAGTGAACTTTTATATTGCATTTTGCAGATATCTCCTGATTGAGAATTTTATTCCTCCTGAGGAAAAGAACAAAATTATGAACCGGCTGCAGTTTGACAGTGAGGAGGATCAGTGGTGGTTGCAACCAGTTATTCCTTCAGACAGGTCAGTAAATCAATTTCACATCATCTTCATCATGAACTATTTGCACGTGAGCACTGAATAATGTAGGGTGTAGATGTGTATTACCTAGTATGATCGAAGTCTGAATAAGCAGAGTACCATCTATTGCCAGAATAACGCTATGGCGACAGGGTCAGTGGATCTGCGAATCAATGGGCCTCCAAATGGTAAAATGAGGGCAAAGGTTAGTTAGAAAAATGCAGCTCGTTAGGAGCGCCCTAACGAGCCAATTTATCCTCCTAAAAAAGCAGTGTAATATATCTCCTGAAAACATAAGACAGTTTCAGTTTTACATTTTCAGCATAAATTGTATCTTTAAATTCACAAGGTATTTGCAAAAACACCAACTGGTTGCTAATTTTTCACAATCAGAGTTCCATGATGACAACATTAAGTTCTCTTTTGTTTCCAAAGTATATTTATTTAAATCTAGGCCATCCTGTCTAATGTATTTTTTCCAGCACATCCACTCTGGTCAAGAGAAGGCCTCTTTCCGCTGTGGGATACAAGAGGCCAATCAGCCAATATGCACAGATGGCCGTTGCCACCGCTACCAGGACCCCGTTTAGATACCAGGTCAGTGCTCAGACAGTACAACACAAGGCCAGAAGGAGCAATCCAGTGAGTCTATTTCTAATATCATGTAGCCTTGTTTAAGACATATAAAGGTGATTTTAGCCGTGAAAATGTAGGTTTGTTTTCTGCCTACATTGTGGTGATGCATCGTAATGGATTCCAGTCCAACAAACTGCTTTCAGAACGTTTGTTTATTGAAATAAAATGTAGCCTCAACACGGAATCCTCACAGCAAAACATTATGGTGGTAGCATCATGCTGTGGGGATTGTTTTCCCCAGCAAGAAGAAAGAAATTTGACTAATTGGATGGGAGGATTGTCATGATTTTACTAAAGTTCAGACCCAAATGCAGAAGACCAAACAGGGAGACCAGGAGAAAAGGTTTAACAGGTTTTATTGAAGAGATAATGCTGAGAGAAGTGTTGCTCTGAACACTGCTCAACTGGAACTGAAAAGTGAGGGGAAGACACAGCGATTAGTTCAGGCTCAGTGGGAAAATTGGTTTGTGAACTTGGAGAAGAGGATTTAGTTGCTGACTCACGTTTCCAGAGAAGTTGTTGAATGTTTGACTCCAGTCTGTATGCTGTAGTTCCAGTGTTTATCTGATTCTGGAGGGCGGAACAGGATTTACCCAGAATGCAGTTGTTTGTAGGTGAACGGAGAAGCTGACTGCCACTCAGATTTCCTGCGGTACTTGAACGGGTCGTAGTGGATATGAATCCCTTTCTCAGTGTGAAGCGCAAACAATCTATTGGGGAAAGTGGGTCCAAACCTCCTGTTTGTAACCCCAGCTCAGCTTGAGGCTCTGTTGATCCTTCCAGGGAGAGAAGGTCCGAAAAATCCAGTTTGCAGGATGACTTCCTGCCGAGAGGCAAAGACAAAAACAATGTTAAAACTCAGGTTGACAAGAACTCAGTTTGACTCAGCAAAACTCAGCTTGGCTAGAGTACGCAAAACTGGCAAACACTCTGGCGTCGAGGTAGTGGCAGTCAGCAGTTTAAGAACACTTCGTTAACGAGGAAACCATCAGCGGGTGTATGAGGAGGCGGACCAGAACCAGGCGCCTCCTGGTGGAGGAAGGGAGACAAACACAGAAACACAAACACACAGACAGGAGTCCTGACAAAGATGGGCATAGATAAATGAGATTGGGACAGTAAGTTCACCTTTCAAAAAGAAAACAACTTTAAAGACTAGAACTAGAACAACTAGAGCTTCAGTTGAATGACTTATATCGAGGTATAGCCATGTGGTTGAATGGGCTCTCTCAAAGTCTGGGACTTAGTTAAACTCAGTTATGGTAGCAACAGATAAAAACCAATATTAATTTACCATTCATGCAGAGTGACTCATATATAGTGTGAAGTTGAGGAGAAACTGAGACTGTTGCAAGAGATTGATCAAATTTATTTAACTTCCTCAGACGGACAGATAGAGCTCTAAATGAGGCAAGCTCAGTACATGCATTTATACTAGGGATGCACGATATAATCGCCCCCCTACCGGTATCGGCCTTAAAGGGACACTATGCAACATTTTTCAGTTAATTAATGTGTTCCATAACGTTATGGATGACTAAATGAGTCATTTCAGGTTGAACAAAGGTATTCTCGGCCGCCCTGGTGGTCTGTGGGGGAAATACTGCACTTGCAACTGCAGGAGCACCGACCCGCACCCACAGGCTCAGAAGTCTCGTGAGAGTCAGTCTTGCTTTACGGCGAGAACTGCTACACCCCCAGTTAAAAGCATTCTCGTTGCTAGCACAGTGGCGATCTTTGTGCAGTTATGCTACGTTCACGCAGCAAAAGCAGCAAAATCGCATCTGCTGCTTCATTTTTGCTGCTTGTACCAGTTAGTTCTGACGCGTGGCTGAAGCAGCTTTGCTGCTCTGGCTGCAAAAGTGTGTCTGACGCGCGTTGGGCTGAGCTTCACTATCCTTTCTCTGCCTTGCAGCTATATTTGCTGTGATCAGTGGGAATAAAGTAGTTTTAATATGTTTTTAAGTGAGAAAATACACCTGAAAACGTAATCAGTGCAGTCAGTTCATTCAGATTATTATCCTGCCTTCAATATTTTTTCTGTCGGAGCCGCTCAGACCCCCACATACCAGCGGGGCGCCGACAGTATGGATCCCTTCCTCAGCAGCGGTTCACCGCGGCAGCTGGTAGGTGTTTTTCATCTAAATAATCCAAACTGCATATTCTGCCGGCAGATTTCTGCATTTTAAGTTAATTTAGGCGTCAATAAACTGTTTAAGAGCAGTGATCATCAGCGCTGTGTCTCTCTCCCTGCGGTAAACGCACCCGACGCGCTGCTGCAGCCGCTCAGACGTGCTGCGCCTGCAGCTCAAAACGCGCCGCGGGACCTTTGCATGTAAACTCGCTGCTTCTGTCGCGCCAGCTACATCCAGTGTGAACGCAGCGTTAGTCATTCGCTGCTAAGCTCAAAACAACCGCGCCTGGCTTGACGGAGAAACCAGGAGAACAGCTGAGCATATTTACGACAGTGCACTTTTACTTTCGCCCTCTGGAGGGAGCCTCACTGGAAAATCAACACCGGTTGCATAGTGTACCTTTAAAACTGAATATCGGACATCGGCCACCCCACCGATATTTAACCCGATATTTGATCAGCTTCTGAGTTTCTAAAGTCTAAAAAAAAATAAAATACTACTTCTTCTTCTTCCTCAAAAACTTCTTTTTTACTTAAAAACTTCTAAAGACGAGGGAAAAAATATTGATACATTAAAATATCCCAATATCTTCATATGCTGATATATTGCCATTTAAAAACACCATATCAATCTCTTTTACTAATGAAATATTGCTATATGTCATCGTTATGCTACGAAATCCCCCGAAAATTCACGAAATGTTGCCATATTTTTATATGATGATATATTGACGCGGTATCGATCTATTTTACTAACAAAATCTCACAAGAATTTGCAAAATATCACGAGTTTTATAACGATGAAATTTCACGAGATTTTGAAAGTAAAATAGATCGATACCGCGTTTTAAAAAATCAATTTGATATCAGCATATGAAAATATATTTGAGTATATTATTTTTCAAAGTGTCAGAAATGGATAACAAAACTGCTATTTTCAATGACTACTTATTTTTGTCCAGCTTTAACATCGGTATCGATATCGGTTATCGGCTACATGAGTTTTAAAATATCGGCATATCGGATATCGGCCAAAATCCCAATATCGTGCATCCCTAATTTATACCTTACAAAATCCCAACACTCTCTCTCTCCCATGGAACCATCCCCCCCCTGCACAAAGAACTTTCTCACACTTAAACATCTGGAGGAAGACAACTTCAGTTCATCTTGAACTTTTCCTGTTAGGTTCATATAAATTTCACTGGCCATATTGATCTTCTCAAAACAGCAGTCCTCCTGTTCATGCCATGAAGGAGGCTGTGTGAACTCATTCTTATCTCTCATGACCTTCGTTTGGAGCCTGTGAGGCCAAGAACAGACATACCTCAACATTTTGTACTCCACAATAGCTATATCTCAAGCATAAAACTTGTCTTGGGATGTTTAATGTTGATAAAGATATAAAGAAAACTTACAGCATCATTAAACTCAAAGGTGGCCTTGCAACGTATTGACTCAAGAGGTCAGAATACAAATGCATGCCACACTTTTCAATCCATCCAGAGTTTTCTTTGCACTTCTTAGTTATCTGTGCGTATCATAAATCCCTAAATACTGAGGTCTGCAGTTGTAATGTGATAAGATGTTAAAAGGTCTAAGGGAAATGTTTGCAAGACAGTTTAAATAATTCAGGTAATTGACCATTATCCTGTACCTCAACATGATTGAAGACCATTTGAATTGTAAAGGACTCTACTTTTATAACAAGTTTATTATCTCTTCTTACAGGCAGAAAATATTATGCTGTTGGAGTTGGATATGTCCCCGCCAACCATGTTCACTCTGAACTTAAACGGTGAATGCTTAGAGAGAGCCTTCACCCCCAGGCTGATGCCGGATCTATCACTAAACGTGCACGCAAGAGGTGCTTCATCTTTGCGGGTCAGGAAATCCCAGTCCTGGTAAGAGAATAACACATAAATATTTCATTTTAAATACTTATATGGCCCTTTTTAAAATAATAACACACAGGATAGCTAAAAATGTTTTACTTTTCAATTGTTATAACTCCTTTACACGTCTTTAAAACTATTAAACCATATTGTATTGATGTCGGAGTTGCAGCTAAAATTGGTTTTGTTGTCAATGGATGCAGGTATCAATCATCGCACCCAGCATCTGTCACATCCTCCTCATCCTCCACTATTCTGACATCAGAACTTCAGAGCTGCTCCCCCTCTCAGAGACAAAGACCATCCTCTGCCACATATCTTTCTTTGGAAGGACCACATCAGACGAGCCCCTGATGGGTTTTCTGTTGCAAAGAGATGAGGGGGAAAAAACGCACCTATTAATTCATTTTAAAGTACATAAGATTTCATGAGAAAACATCTTTTGATCTGGATGATAACTAAAAGTGGAATTAATTAATTTAAACATTCTGCATTCTCTCTCTCTTTTAGATTTGTTTTAGTTGATTAAGTTTTATTTATGTAGCACCTCTTACAGTTATGGTAAAAATGTAAGTGCTTTTATGCTAAACTTATCTCAGCTCGACAAGATCTCTTTGCCTTTGCATTTTTGGTCTAAACTCACTTTTTTGTTTAAACAGACTTTTTCCAAGTCTTAAATAATGCAGTTAATTGCAGGATATCTTAGAATTATCTTATAAATTATCTTTCAAATTAGACCTGACAGGGTTATGTCTTTCACCACATTGATTGTTTAGAAAGATTTTCCATAATCTCCAAATAATACTCAATATCAAACTATTAAAAACTGTTTTGCAGCAGGAGGTCACCAAGAGGCGGTCAGATGTCAGAATAGGCTGATATAAACAGTGTTCAGAAGCCCAATCAATAGAAACTGAATGAAATATAAAGTTTTGATTGAATCACAAAGAATTAAATTATGTTGATGAAATTATAGTTGAGATATTTGCATTTTTATAAACATATTCTCCATTGTTAAACTAAATATAAACTGAATAACTACAATGCAAAATTAAACGGATTTCCCATAGTTTCAATGGATTGAAATAATATTTATTTGCTGGTAGAAAGGTAAAGTACAAAGGTGAGCCAGGCAACATATTGGAGAAAGATGCATAACTATGGCTTTCTGCTTTTTGATAAGTAAACATTGGCCAAAAAGCATATTTAATGCACAAAGAACCAAGGAGACCTTTGAGTGCTTCATTATGAAATAAGAAGACAGATAATAAACAAATGCTGCTAATTTAAGCCAACTAAAAAACTTCTTAACTGACAGGTGAAGTCCTCTATTGGTCAGAAATGTTAGTCATTCTTAGTTTTTGAATCACAGTATTGTTTCTTTGGATCTAAGAAAGGTACAAAGACATAACCCTGCTAAATAATAATAATTCATACATCTACAATACATCTAAAATGGCCCCAAAACAGCGTGAATGGTGTCTAGTGGATGTATAAGCACATTTAAACATGGCGGTGGAGAAGTGGTGATCTTGGCTTGCTTGTTAAAATTAACTGAACAAAGTTGCTTTACTTCCTCTCCCAAAACATGTACCTTTCAGTCTTCAATGAAACCTAAACAGCTCTTTGTTGCAAAGGATTTAACCAATACATGACTCTTCTGCATTCTTTTTTTTTAAAGCATTTTTTTTTATAGATGGTTGCAGACAAACGGAACAAATGTCTTTGCCAAAAACTTTTAGGCTTGTTGAATGATAGATCATCCTGGTATAGCCTATTTGCCAAATAATGTTTTGCTACAGTTTCAGGTTAATGTGATTGTGAACCAAAAGTGTGAAGAAAGCTTGCACTGCTGTCTTGATTAGCTGCCTTACTTTTTCATGATTGTGGAAAGTCAACTTGCCTACTTATCAAATAAACACTAAATAGTCTTAAAACTGTCTGGGTTTTTTTTTTCTTTTTTTTCCAAAGATTATTATTGCAATCCTGAAATGACTTTTTAAGTGATCTGGATGATTTATATCAGTTTCTCGTCCAGTGCTGCACGGTGTAGCAGTGGGTAACGCTGTTGCAAGAAGCTTCCGGGTTCGATTCCTTGCATGGGTTATTTCTGCATGGAGTTTGCATGTTCTCCCTGTGCATGCGTGGGGTCTCTCCAGGTACTCCGGCTTCCTCCCACAGTCCCAAAACAAGTCTATTAGGTTTATTGGCCTCTACATTGTCCTTAGGAGTGAGTGTGTGTGTCTCTGTATTGCCTTGCGACAGACTGGCGACCTGCCAAGGGAGTACCCCGTCTCTCACGGCCGGAGATAGGCACCGGCTTCACCATGACCCTGACAAGGACTTATGCGGGAGAAGATGGATGGGTGGAAGGTTTCTTTGATTGATTTATTGGTTGGTTGATTGACTTTATTGATCTCATGGTGGAGAAATGTAGTCGTTACATCGGCTCAAATAGTCAAAGGAGAAGAAGAAGGTGCCAAAGGAAGAAAAATGTGCATGGGATATATAGATACATTATATACAGTGCGTCCAGGGAGTTTACATGGGTTCATGGATATTTACATTTATAAATATAGTTATTGCACTGGGTGTCAAATATAGAGAAACAGGTTATTGCACAGGGTATCAAATAGTAATTGCACATTTTTACAAGGGTGTAAAAGTATTTCACTAAAAGAGCCGCTCAGAAGATGTTGTCCATGATGGATGTAAGCTTGGACAACACCCTCCAGATGTTTGAAACATCCACAGATTTCATGGTCTGCATTGACTATATTTTCCTTTGTTTTTTAAAGACCTTTAATCAAGGTTAAAGCTGCTCTCCCAAAGGATATACCTATCAATCAGATCATTTTTTTTTTTTTTTATGATAATGCCTTTTTTACACCCTGCTTTTAATGAAATTACTCTTTAAAGGTTTTTGGTTGTGAACCATCAAGCTGCAGAATGTTTGAAACAGTATATAAGAATACTGTATGGGTAAGATTTAACATGAAATCACATGGAAATTCAATAAATAACTGAAAAGTTAATTTTTAATTAATGAATAAAAAAAATAAAAATATATAGGGAAGAATTGACACTTGACAGTTAAAGAAATGTCATACAACAGCAGTCTTGTCAGATGTAAATGTACAATTTCTTTGTGGCAACCCTCCATAATCTGTTGTGCTGAGGGCTGTTGTATGTAACATGATTTATATTACCTGTACAGTAGGAACATATTTTGAATTAAGGTGATATTGTAGATTTACTCGACACTTCCTGTGCATCTTATGAATATTTTCCAAACAATCATTGTGCATAATAACCAACCAGCTAGTTTTTTTTTCTTTTTGTATCATTTTTCCTTCAACAACTGAAATTCCCAGCTCAGACAGTTTAGACATTAATAATGCATCTATTTCCAATTCTGGCAGGATTACATTTCTAATTAGTGATTAATTGAAAACTTGACAGTTTCCTAAAATTATTTAAAAAATATTTTTAATATTATTTAATGTCAGTTCACACAATTTCTGTAAATTTTGTAAATTTCTCTAGTAAAATCCCTACTTCCATATGCAAATATAATTTACCTGCAGGATCATTTTTTATTTTTTTTACTTGGTAGAAAAAACTACTCCAGAGACTCTTTAAATGCGGGAATCTTGAGGATTTGGATTTGTGTTTTTTTATTGAAAAGATTTTAAAAACCAATTATACAGAAGAACATTAAATTCTAAATAAAATAAAACTAGAAACAATTAAAAGGAGTGTAAATACATTATTCTTTGAAAAATCTCTCAAAAATATCCGTGGAAGTATTGCTCTAATGTAAGGGATTTCATGTACTATTTTAATTCGTGCAAGAAACATGTAAAGTTGGGGAAATCTTGAGGATTTGGAATGACAGCCACTTACAGTACACGGGTGACGTTTCCATGTCACGTGACGCTTTACAGTAAGTCCAACATGGCAGATGGAGTAGGTCTTGCACGGTGACTAAAGCAACATTTCATTAGAAACGGTCGCTCCAAACTCCACAGGGCCACGGGACGTCCACGATGAGGGAGAGACAGAAGAAAAAGAAGGGGAGGACGTGGGCGGAAGCCGCTAAAACGGTGAGGGTGTGTGTGGGGGGGTTATCTTCCGTTTGTTGTGGTTGTTTTCCTTGAACGCTCCCACTTGTACAACTGTGTTGACGAGTTCATGACCCGCTGGTGGAAATGTTGCGTACACCGCAAGGCCTGTGTTGACGGTCCTGCCGCTGCTGTCACAAGCAGGGAGCTCACTTTCTCTCTCCTCCGAGAGGAAACGCAACTTTATTGAGATGGCGTATGTGCACCAAAGCATGCCTCTGAACCCAACGTTCGTGTTTCATGCTTAAAGCAGGACTGACAAATCCTAATCGGTCCAATTCGGATAGAATAATCACCAAGGGATCACGTCAAGGCTGCGTTAGCATCAGCGGCTAGCTCGTGCTAAGTCCGCTTACGAGTTGAATTACTTTCAAGTGGACTAGAATTTGAAGTATATTTTCTTAACCTTTTAGTTTTACTACTATCTTTCCACATGCGTTTGTTTTTAAATGTCAAGGTTATTTCACTCCATGTCAACAGGTGTATTGAATCGTGTTAGCTTTAATGCTAATTGAACTAGCTTAGCATGCTAAGAAGTACTTAATAATGAAAACTCCTAGAAGTAGGCGAATGTCAAAACAGGAACATTTTACTTAGTTGCAGGAATATTAGCCGCCCGCAGACAAATGGCTTAATGCACTAGTTAGATTAATTACAACTTAAAGATAAGTGACAGTAAATATCTGATCGTTTTCAAATGGGTTACATTTCATGTCACAGCTGGCTGAAAGTAGGAAAGGAACTTCAATGTTCGATGGTGAAGCCATATTAGGAAAATAGGCGCAGTTTTTCTACACTGAGAAAAAAAGTAGCATCCCAATGAACATTTCACATTTACTCACAAGTATGTGTATTTCAGTATGAGTTGGATGATATTCTGAAAATTAATTGGGGATTTCTAAAAGTCATTTTTTTTTATTTTAAATAGTTTAAATCAGGCATCCCCAAACTCGGTCCTCAAGGCCCCCTGTACTGCAGGTTTTAGAGGTTTCTC